TCCACTGAGGCACAATTTTTTAATGACTGATTCTTTGTGTGATCACCATTGAAGATTTCAACAAAGTCATGTAATAGTTTTTTGGTGCCAATGTTGGGTTTTTCCTTATCAGATGAATTGGTGTACAGTTTGTAGTTTTTAGTTCAGACCATGGATAACCTGTACACTGGTTGATCAAGCAAAGCATAAACTCAAAGCTTGAATGAGGAACATAACATGGAAAACTTTTACATCGAGAATAGTTGGAAGCATGCACTTCAGTTTACCTGCATCATGTTAGCATTAATACCAATAGATATTGGTCCGTTCTTCACCAGCCAGGCAGCCATTTCTGAAAAAATAACATTATTTGTGAGGTAAGTACATGATGAACAAACCTTCAACAAGTTGACCTATCTCATTGCTGCATACACAAATCACACTGCAACTGTGCAGTAAAACAACCTGCACAAACTTGTAAGTTGATTGTATCAAATGACTGATTACTATGAAATAATATATGAATTGGTAAACAAATCAATGGCTTCAATTACTGAACTAAAAAATAGGTATTACCGGGTACCTGTGTGGAAGTTCATAATAATTTCAAAGAAAAAAAAATTGCCTACACCAAATTTGATTTGAGTTATCCTCAATAGAAGGATTAATGAAAAAAAAACCACATAAATACACCAACAACTTAAATTAATTTTAAGTCATTTAAACCTGAAAATTCATTGTAAACTACATCATAAATGAGAGTAAAACCATTGTTCCATAATGTTCACCAAAAGCATTATGGCTCTGACTACAGGGCTGTTAACCCTTCAAGCAGAAAGAAATTCCAAAGCCAGTAAAGAAGGATTGAAAATGTCATTCAGAATGATGAAGAAAGAACAGACAGTTGTAGAAACCCTGACTTACCATTTTCGTCTTTAGATATCGCAACAGACCCATTGATGTAAACAACAGCTTCTGACTTTGCAAACTTGCATTTATCATCAGATCCCTCATAAGGATACATTTTTTCAGTCTCGAGTCCACCTGAACACAAAATTTCAATAGGAAAAAAATCAAGGTTGTTAGACCACTCAAACGTACTACAATACAGTATAGCATAAATCTCTGACACATTCAGAACAACTCTGTTACCAAAATTAAGTTTCACATGTTTGCCAAATCTCAAAGATACAACTGTTCAGTACAAGTAAAGAGAATCTAAATCAAAGTGACTTGACAAAGTCTACCATCGTTAACTATCAGCCTGCCATTTATAATAAGATGCATTCTTTCTCCAGACTCCTGTGGCCATGCTTACATGTACACTCCACATCATTTCTCCTTATCTTTTGCATATCCACAAGTAAAAGGACCAGAATCAAGATCAACTTAGAACTTAAAAAAAAAACTCAGCTACCAGTATTTCTAAAAGTCACTTCACCAAAATATTTCATTGTAACAAATGATCTTATTAATACCAAGTTTCATGATTTGCTTGTAAGCATTAGATGGTAGTCCACCATTGCAGCCGTGATCAACAGTGTCACAGTCAACAAGTTCTGGAAAGATCAAGAGATGACAGAAGATCATAAGTACCGTTTGTGAGCAACAACACTTGCACATAGACCTCTTTCATACATGACAGCTTCATTTTTATTTCTGGCCTTAATCAGGTGTTTAAAAGGTAGTAGAATTTTCACTCAAAAAACAAGGCCAGGAAGGCTAATTTGTTTTAACTTAAAAGGACTTTAGGAGACAAAGAATGGCTCAGCTTGGCTGTTCCTTAGTACACCATGGATGGTACAGTTGTTAAAAAGGTAAAAAATTCCACATTCTGAAATCTTCAGTTTAAAACTTCCTTTATCCCTAACAATACTTGTTTGTCTCAGCCTTGCAATGATCTCTAAGGCAAATCTATCACTAACCAAACTTAAAAACACTTCAATTTGTGAACGATTATTTTGTAAATTGCAAAGAAAAAACAAGAAATTTTATACAATAACTAAATGAGATGCCAGAAAAAGGCAAACATTGTAAAATGCCAAAGTTTTTTTTTTTTAATGCAGCATATCAATTGACATGCTGCATTTTCCTGTTCATCAAAACCAAAACAAAATTCTTCAACATGAATGGTTATCACCAGCCCAATTTGAGCACTAATATGACAGTATACACATATTAAAGTATACATCATGTACATGCCCTGTTATCACACATTTTGCTGAGTTACATGTAAATGTTGTTTGTTTATGAAAGCGTATAACCAATGCCTAGTTTCTTTCTCAAATTTTGTCATAGTTTTGATTAATTGGTAACAGGACTTCATGTCATCCAATTCAGTCTGTAATTATGCTCACAGTTAACAAATCAGACTCCCACTTTGCCATTGTTCAATTTTGTTAATCACTTGTATGATTACAGACTGAATTGGACCCCACTCAGTCCTATTACCTTCATTAATTACCTTGTTCACTGAGGGAGACCAAATCCCCTTTCTTGATTTTCCACTGTCCTTCAATATTACCAGTTGTAGAGAAAGCCCAGCATGAACCACACATACCCTGCATGCAGTAAAATTAATCATTATGTGATCCCTGTCACTCCATTATATCAACTCTCTTTGCTATCTGTGATATAATTTCTAAAATTTCAATTTTGAGAATTGTCTTCAAGTCAAGCAATGACCCCAAGTTGTTATTTTGAGTTCTTCCTGTCAAATTTCTACTGAAAACTTTAATGCCATTGTTTGGAAAAATTCCACCCCTGGAACTAAATAACTTTGAAACTGCACAAACAGAAAGAGCAAACAGATGTATCAGTTTTCAGTGGGGTGAAAAGTTGAGAGGCCGGGGAAAAAAAAAGCACATTCAAATATTATTAATACTGTTTGTTATACCACATCTTTTTGTGAGAATATTACTTGGAGAGGTCTTCTTAGATTTAAAGGTACACAATCAGCAAGGTTGTTCACAACCACACAAAAGCCAGTGAAGGATGCAGCCAAATGCCAGTCAATAAGTATCTTATAGCCCAGCAGCACTGCTTATTCACACCAACGAGAGACTACAAATTATAGCAAACACACCTACACTTAACCCTTTACCCCCTCACATCAGTATGCATTTTCTCCACACTGCTCTCTGCATTTACTATGGTGCTGACGAGGAGAATTTGTTTAATGATCAAGAGCCCATTTAGTCAGTGATCATTTCCTTTATTCTTGTGAGCTCAATGTTTGTTTTAAGGTGATACTGATAGGAAGAAATAGTTACTAATCACTCTTAGATGTTAAAGGGTCAACAGACCAATTACCAGGTAGGTAAACTTGACATTTCTGTTTACATACCTGATTCTTTACTGCAGTCACAGCACCTTTAAAGAAACAGAACAACCTCAGCGACATCACTTGCAAGTGAAATGGGTTACATCCAGTTACACAAACAACCATTTTGTGTAAACTTCATAACACCCTTAAACGTTCATACACTCTACCTTTGTCTCTCCAATCAAATGCTTTTGGAATGTCTCCCTTTGGAATATCAGCTTGCTTCATTTCATATTGTGGCTTTCCCCAACCAGGCATTCTGTAACTCTTCTTAAATTCCTCCTCTAAAGGAAAAAACACAAAACATCCACATCAAAGGTACATGTAGGTATGATATATTGATTATAATGTAATAAACCAAGTATGTGATGACATGGCTGCTAAATTGACTTGCATATCATTTAAATGGAAGCCAATCCCTTCCAATGTAATGTCTCAACTCATTTGAGCAGGTAGAGATTTTTACCATACAGATGCCACAACAGTTTTAATGGCTACCCAAGTCACTGAAACTGTTGCTAAAGCTACTTGAACAGATTCCCCATATGTTTGTAAGGCTGACAAACAGCATGCATATGGAGCATTAGTGTAAGTTTCCCCTTGAAAAGTCACAATTGAGAAGACAAACCTGTTAAATCACTGAACACTGTCTCCCCATATTTGGCAGAACCTTGCTCCATGTCCTGCATCTTTCGAGCTCTGACCAAGTTGTCCTGGTAAACTGCAAAGCGTTTCTTGTATTCTGAAAGAGTTTTAAAAAAAAGTGAGACAAACTGTGTAAATAGAGGGAAACGACAGGAACAAACTGCACACTGAGAGGAGTAATGGGGACATCAAAGGGCTTCACTTCAGAGAAAAATTGTAAGAAAAGTAGGAAATGAAAAGGAATTCCCACCTGCTGGTTGGAGCTTTGATAGATCTAACATAATTTTTGTACCCTTGTTTACAATTATCCAAACCAGCCGAAATTTTCTCATTTTGTGTTCATCATTAAATTTTGAAAAAATAAAAGAAATAACCAAAAGATCAACATGACATGAAAAATTTTAATGACATGAAAAAGTTTTGAAAATATATGACTGCTGCAAAAGTGTAACAAAACACCAAGAGTTATTTAACAAGCACCACCTCCAAACCAAATTATTTTCTGAGTCATTATCAACAAAGATACATTTTCTAGTGCAAACTATTGATCAACAAACCACTTCTCTCCTGTTTAACCCTTTAACTCCCAGAAGTGATTTACATGTCACTTCTCCTTACAATATACATACATTATTCAGTAACCAGGTGGTGAGAATATTCAGACTTATCAGGTAAAAGTTGTTTTCATGATCTAACACTAAATTCTTGTAGCTTATTTACCAGGAAATGTGTAGCAGTCAAAGGGAAGAATTAACAATCAGATCTTGCGAGTTTTTGGATTAATGCGTTAAAACATACCATCCTTATCTGTTAAATAGGGCTTCTTGTGTTTAATAACAAACTTGTGGAATGTCTCAAGTACATCACTGTCACCTATGGCAGGTTTTGGCTGAAAAAAAAAAAACAAAACAAAAAAATTAACTGTGTGCAACACAGGTGTACCTCCCAAGGGGGTTGGCGAGCAAATTCTAAAAGCCACAGGTACTACTCTTGTGCATATACTTCCCAGATGAAAAGGTACTGACAGTAGCACCTGATCTCAGTGCATAACTACAAACAAA